TGTGGAAGATCAGACTATGCTGCAACCACAGAGCATACTTAGACAGTACCTTGACTCTGATACCAATTGTTGCGGAAGGCAAATGTATATAGTGTGAATAAATCACAACTACTATACCAAAAATTATGACAGCCACCAAATAATAAATAAGACAATAAAGCAACAATAAAGGGAACACCAGAATTTACGAGGTTCGGCTAATTTTGCCTACTCCTCGGACACAACCAATATTTTATTTCACTCCAAAAATACAAGTGAAATAATACTAAAGAGAGAAGATACAAATGCCTTAAACAGATGAGAAGGCAAATGAGAGATGTGTTTAAATCCTAAACATTAGACCTTCTTTTATAGGGGAAAAATCCCCCCAAAACTCAAGAGCCCACCGATGTGGGACAAAAATTTGCCAAACTTCAACAATATATATATATATATATATATATATATACTAGATGGGGATGCCCGTGGTGTGGTGTCATATACTGCAGCATTAGTGTTTCAGATTCAATGCTTCATAAATAGCATATAGAAATGCGATTTTAACTACTATAGACATAGTCAAAACCTTCTCAAGTCATCTAGCTACAAATTGAAGTAGAAATAGATTTGACAATACCATCACACAAATTCATATTTCTTGTTAAGGAACAACAAAATAACTTAAAAGAGTTTCAAAAGAAAACTTATGCATCAGACTAAGCAGGAGGAGTAAAGAACATACAATTGCAGATCAAACAATCTTAAAAAAATGCGGGCTTTGAAATGGACTGGTTGCAGCTTAAAATTACCCTGATAGAGCTCCCTCTTTCTACAGAAAGAATCCAGGAAGAGTTTCTTAACCTTCAAATTGCATTATATCCTTCAATCCTCGGGCAAACGACACAGTGTAAGTTAATTGGTATTATATGAAAACTACATTTTCCATGGAAATATTACATCAGTTTATCGTCCCAAAAGTTGTATTACTTTAAACTTTCCATTTTATTTATAGTGACTACTTGAAGAAGAAACTTGGTAGTGCCACAGTGATTTCACATTAGCATCATAGATTTACAGCTTATGATGAATCAACAGACTGCAGACATGGTTTATAGCGAGTTGCGCCTTGCTCCCACCTGGAAAATAAAGGCATGTTAGCTAGAAAACAAAAGCATATACTCTAGCTATACATTTGGAATTAGAATAATCGGACACCAGAATTCAGAAGAACATGCAGTAACTGATGGAGTATCCTTGTGCAATTGAATAACATTTTTCAATGAAAAAATTTGGTGAAATGCCAAATAAAGATATGACAGACCTGAGTTTTTAGCTTCTACAATGAACCGTGCGCTCTAAATTGGTCAGATTATTTGCAAACACGCTTCTAAGATGGTCCAACATCTCCTTCGCTCGGCCAAATCCAAAACCAAGAAGCACATCAATGAAGCCAAATCAGTGCACTCTCCTATTCCAGTATAAGAAATAATCTGAAAATACAATTTGCATCAATAGTAATGTACAGACAGTCCATAGATATCTACTACGATGGATATTGTACCTGTACAACATTCAAAGAAAAAGAGAACTGTCAGAGTATATTAATTTTCTCTAAGCAATTGCACTCATTAAGCAAGAAAGTTATACATGTACAAAAGATCATGAAACTACTATTTTGTGGAAGGACCATTTAGTATTTACTAAAACAAAATCATTGAGTCAATCACGAGTACTGCAAAGTAACGCAACATTTCTGAGAGATTATGAGCTTTCAACAGTCATTCTTTAGATATACAGGTTATAATATTATCTGGTATGACTAAGCATTAAAACTGCTTAAAGACCAAATTAAACAACGTTAAAGCTCATATTAAGCTTAGCATTTTGAATACTCCAATAATCTTTTGATTACAATCAACTACATGTTAGTCAAGATTAACTAATTTGACTATCAGTACAGAAAATTTGTGCAGAAGGTAACTCAAATATGCTCATATTTAATGCATTGTAGATTATACAATATTACTTTATTAAAAAGATAAAAATGATGTAGTTGAAAATTATTTTTCCTTCGGTAGTAAAGTAGTTACTTTCACCTTGCTTGCCCTTGATTTTCACATATCACTGTTTCATATCAAACCACTAAAATTAAAAAATATAGAAAAATCATCTAGCTACAACCAAGAAACTATGACACAACAGCTTGGCGCTCAGCTTAAAAAGCACACAACTTGGACGATAAAAAAACTGAAAAAGACAGTGCAAGATTGAAATTTTATTATCTAATAATATGTTGGGAATTTTCAAAATTTAAAGAGGAAAAAGAATTAGTTTTTAATTATCCAAAAAATAGAAAAGTGAATATATATTCATCAAAGTCAGATATGCTCGCAAGCACCTATGTATCTATTACTACCAAACACGCATGGGCAAATCATGACATTCATGTGGAAAATCAAGCACAAAAATTATTCAAAAGAACAAAGAAACTAATATTCACTGACAAACTTCTGCAGATAAAAGAAAGATGGAGAGAAGACTCACCAGAACAGTAAGTAGACATCGAAAAATAAATTCAGCTTAAAATTGAAAACTTGAAAAGGAAACCGGAAGCAAAGGCCAGAAAGAAGAGCAAAGAACCCTAGGAGAAACCTTGAAAGAAACCAAGGACTGATGGCCTGAAGGCTGAAAGATGAGACACACTAACGTTAGTACAAAGACTACAGCATTAGAAAACAAAAATTGTACTCAAAAAAGGAAATGAACACCTGTCAATTGAAAAAGAGATACTTGAGAAGCAACAACTATGAGAGTGACGTGAAGAAATCCTAGAACTCGACTCCTGCCATTTACATAAACTCGGCTTTGTAACAACTCAACTATCAGTTTTGAGATTAGACTTCAATATTACTATTCCAAAGTGGTTACACTATAAGAATACAACATCAGCAAACTGCGATAGAATCAAATATGAGAAAAAGACAATGGTGTAAGTTAGTAGAAAAAAAAAGTGGTCAAGTTGTGAACTCATATAATCCTAGGATATATTCACGATATAATTAACACCAAGTTCCCTTCCATCCCCAACTTGTTGTACTAAACAATACTTATTCACTTTTATTTATGCAGAGAAATTAATTATGTACGTCAATAAAAAACTTATTAGAAAATAATGAACTAACAAAAATCATATCATCTATACATGACTTGAGAAAACTTCCACATGCATATTAGAAGAGTAGAACAGTAGGCTTTAAAAGGTAAAAGATAAAAGGAATATCATCCAAGCTCATCGCGAACTATAGAACACCGACGAAATCAAGCCAACCCCAAAGACATCGTGCAAAAAAAAGGTGTAGATCCATCACTATTCATCTATATTTCTATATTCATTTTGATTTGAAAGAGAGAGAGAAAAAAAAGAGAAAAAAAATTAATTTGTGCAAAAATTATAATCAGTAATTCTAATTTAGTATCTACAAAGTTAATACACTGAACACTTTCCTCTCCAACTACGAATAATTTCTGAATGATGTAGGACATACCTTTGATATTTTTGCATAGTGCTGCTTTATCACAAATTCACAATTTTGTATAGCATCTTTAGAGTATTGAATGATCATCTAAGGTTTAGAATTCTAATAGGGTATTTTTTGATTTGAAATTTTCTGGACAAATTGATAGTTATATGCAAGGAGGGACAAAGACGGTGAATAGGGAAGATCAGAGAGAAAGAGAGCTGAACCAAAGAAGATGGAGAGTTGCATTACTATGAGAGAGACCAAATAGTGTTCTTTTGTATGAAGTAGTACACGTGGTCTCATTCCAAAATTACCGTACGAGTGTAACAGGAGAAAGATATAGTACAATGCAATAACCAATGAAATGGGTCCAAGTCTACAGTACAAGTAATACAACCTTTTGTACAATTGATTATTGCTGTGTGTTCGTACACCCCTTCCCATTTATATATAGTAGTAATAGTAATATTAAACAAAATAAGGACATCAAGAAGCAATAAAGAAAAGGTTCATATCAAGCTCGTACGTAACAGTTAGTTTGGATGATTGTTATGTATTGTTTTATAATATATTGTATATATTGTATTGTTTATCGTTGTTTCATGATGTCATGTACCAACAATATGAAAAATAAACTTACAATATTTATAAAGAAAAAGTAAGGTACGAGGTAGATTTATTATATAAAAAGTAGGGTAAAGGATAAAATAAAATTATTTAATAGTAAAGAAGGAAAAGATGAGAGAAACAAATAAGATAACGATGTGACCACACTTAATCAGTTGTTACATACAGGGTCACTTTTCTTCGTTACGTAATAACAGACTTAACGATACGATACAATAAAATTTAAATAACATTCAAAACTAATATTATATTTAAAATAACAATACGATACAATACAACATGCAAAAACCATCCAAACAAAGATGTAAATAAAAGAGGGAGCGAATACATGAATTTACATGATATATGGAAAGAAGTTATCCTTGATACACCACTGTGACGTGGCAAAGTCAAACAACTCAGCACTTTGCTGAAAGTGATGACCTCGCGTACACGTAGTATAACCGTCAATGACGTGGAAATTACCTTCGGTAAGAATACACTTGCATTCATATCGTTCCATGACCATATTTGGCAACACAATCCACTTGTCTTTTTCAACGTCGTACAACAGAACCGATCTTAGTGCAACATTCTTGTCATCGTTATGTCCGCCGGTGACAAGGACCATCTTCTCCGAATCCGAACTGCATCCGAAAAGTAACCTCTGCTGACCTGGCATGTCGGCCCCGCGACGCCATGACATGGATTTGAAGTTGTAGATGAAAACAGAATCCAAAACCCTCCAAGAAACTGGGTCGAAACCGCCAATCACCATTAAATCCGACCCGACTTCAATAATCTGGCTAAACATCGGCAACCCATCTACCATCTCTGGTATGGGTGGCAAATCATACGAACAGGCCTTTTCTGGGTCATAGACAGAGAGAGTGATAACACCATGAGGTTTCGTAATGGTTAACGTAACCATAGTACGTAGTTGAATTTTCTAGGGACGGAACATTAAAGGGAAACTATATAGAGGTTTTCTCATCCGTTTTAAAGTGTTTATCGCTGATTTGTACTGACTTTCACATCTTTTGCTTCTGGAAGAGGATTTCATATATAGTGGGAGAACATGCAGTTTCTTATTTAAAAAATAAATCAATCAAGAAAGCGTAACTAAGAGGAAAGGACACGTGCACACAGGGCTGGATTTCACAACCCCATCAACGGGAAGTTTCTGTTTTTGCTTGTGCTTGAATCAAGTATAAGGAGAGTACTCGGGACTAATTAAACTGTAGTTTTTCATCTAATAGTGGACAAATAGATGGGTCAATTTAATCTGGTGCACCCACATAACACTCAATCCAAAAACTCGCAAGTGAGTAGGTTTGGTTTGAAACCACTCCAAGCCTAGGTTTGGTAGAAACCACTCCAAGCCTCCTGCAGTGTTTTGCTATGAATATTTTTAGTGTGATACCTATTTGATAAATATATATCAACTTTTCTAGCCCAAAACTCCTTTGGTATATTTTTGCTCTCAATATACTCCTTGCCATATTGAGAATAGTGTGGTTCTTTCTTTTTATGATGCTATTTTGTTGAGGTAATCTTGGAACAATCAAAGAATAAGAAACTCCATTCTTTTCACAAAAAATCTTGAATTCGTTTGAAGTGAATTCTCTGCCTCTATCGGATCGGAGTACTTGAGTTGATAGCCACTTTGTTTCTCCACCATACTCTTGAAATTTTTGAAGGTTTCAAACACCTCTAATTTTTACTTTAAAAAATAAACCCAAATTTTTCAAAAAAAATCATCTATAAAAAGAAGAAAATAATTACTTTGCAAAGTGATGATGGTCTAATCGATTCGCACACATCCATATGAATCAACTCCAAATTAAGGCCAATATGCTCTTGTCAAAAACTCTTTAGAAAAACTTTTTCTTGCTTGCTTTCCAAAAAGACATCCTTCACAAATTTGGTTAGAATGATTGATACTTGGCAACCCTTTCACCATACTTTCCTTTTTCGTCAATTTTAGGCTATCAAAATTTAAATGACCAAATCTCATATGTCAAAGACAAGATAAATCTTTGGCGCATAAAAACAAACACCTCAGTTTTAAAGATGCAAAATAAATATTTTATTTTTAAGCATTGTAACCTGGGCTAACAATCTCCTACTTTCATCTTTGATAATTAATTTTTTATCTTTCAATTAAATATCATAATTTTTTTCCAAAAGCTGTCCCATATTTAAAATACAATCACTTTTCATCTCCAGTAGATATAACACATTAGAAATTATTTGATGACTTTCATCTTTCATATGAATTAAAATCGTATATTTTCCTTTGATTTTAATTGCGAAGAGTCCCCAAAAGTGATGTTGCATCCATTAAGCTCTTCTAGATCCACAAATAAATTTTTCTTTTCCCAAATGTGACTACTTACACTAAACTCAAGGTATCATTGGTTTCTTTCTACACTTTCTTCACTTTTACATGAAAGAATTGCAAAGTTCCATCTTTTTCTTCATTCTTGCTCCCCACAAAGTTATTTTTATCCTCCATATTATTTTTACATTCCCAACAAAAATGACCAAAATTATGGCAAGTATAACATTCAATATTTGACTTATCATACCATTCTTGATTTGTCCTCTATCCTCTATATCTTCCACGACCTCTTCCTTGGTTGTAGTAATACTTTTATTTTCTCTACTTGGTGATTGAGTACCACCTCTTCCTCTTCTACTATGACCTCTTCCACGTCCACAATCTCTTTTGTGAACCATGCCTTTCCTCTTTCTCCTTCAAAGAAATTTTTGCTTGTAACGCTTGTTCAACTAATTGTTGTTTCGATTTCTTCAATTTTTCTTTATGTGCTTGCAAAGAACCCGTAAATTATTCTATGGTCATAGTATCCAAGTCCTTGGACTCTTCAATGGCAATAACCATATCGCTTCATTTAATTGACAATTGCCAAAACTCTTAAAATTAATTTGAAATTGATCCGGGTTCTTCATTTGCAGAGATTCAAACTCATCTTAAGGTTTGAAGACAAACCTTTTTTACCTTGTCCAAATCTTTGAAGTAATTTTGAAGAATATCTCATGTTTGCTTGGAGGTGGTTGCATTTACAACCTTCTCGAACATCTTTTTATCAAAACTCTAATAGATGATAGTGAGCATCTTTTGATCTTTCTTCTTTGTGGCAACGACGTCTACTGCTTCATCAACTCCGCTCTCCAATTTTTCAAATATCATAGACACCACGCAAAGCCTTCATCCGAATACACCAATTTCTATAGTTTTCCTTAGTAAATATTAAAACTTGGAATGTGATTCCATTAGTGTTAGTCATCTTTTCTCACATTTAGTTGTCTCCTAAAAACACTAATGTTGGAACTAAAGATTAGAAATTTGAGAGCAAGACAGTAAAAATAAACACTCAAAAGCTCACTAGAAAAGAAGTAGAGAAAGAAGGGATATTTCACTACTTTTCCTTACCAAATGGTTAGACTTACATTACTATTTATTGGTGATCTTGAACATGTATCTAGTCTAGTGTACATGTAAACACATTNTAAACTCATTAACTTAATTTACACTTCACATCTTCTAAGATACATGGATGATACCACTAAACTTTATTTTTTTTCAAAGTAAATCAATGAGTTCATATCTAATATATGTATCACATTGTAACGATCCGACCGGTCGTTTTGAACTTTTGCACTTTGATCGCCAGTTTTCGGACATGACTTGCCCTGTGTAACATATTATGACTGATGTAGATCTTTCGTTTTGGTTTTCAGGAAAAATCGGAATGAATTTGAAGGAACAGTCTCAATTGAAAGCTTTGAATTTGAAAGGTTTGACTAAGAGTTGACTTATTTATATATGATCTCTGATAGGAAATTTTATGATTTGGATAGCTTTGTTGGGTGATTTGTGACTTAAGAATATGATCGGAAGTGGTTTTGGAGGTCCGGTGTAGAATTAGGCTTGAATTGGCGAAGTTAGTATTTTGGCGAATTCCGGTTGATAGGTGAAATTTTGATCCGAGGGTCGGAATGGAATTTCGAGATGTGATGTAGCTTTGTAGGGTGATTTGGGATATGTGTGCAAAATTTCAAGTCATTCGGAGATGATTTGGTTGGGTTTTTTATCAAATGTGTGTTTCAGAAATTTTGGAAGAACTTAGGCTTGAATTCGATGTAATTTGATGATTTTGGTGTTATTTGAGGTGTTTTGATAATTGGAACAAGTTTGGATGATGTTTTAGGATGTGTTGATGCTTTTGGTTGAGGTCCCGGGGGGCCTCGGATGAGTTTTGGGTGGTTAACGGATCGAATTTGGGTAAAGCTACGACTGGTTGCTGGTATCTGGTTTCCTTCTTCGTGAACGCGAAGGGAGTCTCGCGAACACGAAGAGGAAAATGGGAGACTGTTGATTTGGCCTTCGCGAACTCAAAGAGGGAGTCGCGAACGCGAAGGAGTGGGCTAAGGTTCTACGCGAACGCGGGAGAGTAATCGCGAACGTGTAGAAGGAAAATTGGGCCTGGGGTCATTTGGCCTATGCGAACGCGAAGGGCTTAGGTAATTGGCTTTCGCGAAAGCGAGACCTGGAACACGAACGTGAAGGGTCTAGGAGATTGGTCTTCGCGAACGCGATCTACAGTACGCGAATGCGAAGAAGAAAAGTTCTGGGCAGAATGTTAAGTTCTGAAAATGAGACTTCGTTCCCATTTCCATTTTTTAACGATTTGGAGCTCGGGTAAGGAGATTTTTCAAGAGATTTTCAGAGAGAACAACGGGGTAAGTGTTCTTAACTCAATTTTGGTTGGATAACTTGAATCTATTACTAGTTTTGGCATTTAATGCGCGAATTTTGTTGGAAAAGTTTAGAAAACCCTCTTGGATAGAATCACGGATTTGAGGGTCGAAATGTGATGGGATTTGGATAATTTTGGTATAGTTAGACTCGTGGGGAGATAAGGAACCCGTGGATGTAAAATTATTTTGAATTTCAGGACGTGGGCCCGAGGTTCAGGTTTTTGCTAATTTTGAGAATTTTGGTATTTTTCGATTGTTTTGATTGGGCTTTGTTCCCATAACATATTTTGACGTATTCGTTCTGATTTTGGATAGATTCGACGCACGTGGAGGCCAATTCGAGGGGCAAAGGCGTCGCGAGCTAAAGAAGTAGCCGGTTCGAGGTGAGTAATGATTGTAAATGATGTCTTGAGGGTTTGAAACCTCGGATTGCACATCGTAGTGCTATATTGAGGTGAGACATGTGCTGGATGATGAGCGCGAGGTCTTTTACTACTGGGGATTGTGACTTGGTCCGTCCCGATTGATGATTTTACAGCGTATTTGACTGAAACTTATTTGTTAGCATCATGACTTGGGCTGATTGCCATATTTGGGCTTCATGCCAACTATTTGAACCCTTCGGGGATTTTTATCATTATTTCCTCACTGTTTCGACTTATTATTTGAACTCAGTCCTGTTGATATCTACTGTTTTACAAACTCAGCCACTTTTACTCAGATTTGAAACTTAAATGATATTTCTAAATGATGTTTTGGGCTGAGAACTACTGTTTTACTATGCCCGAGGGGCTTGTGATGATTTTTGGACTGAGTGATGCCGAGGGCCATATGTGAGGATATGCTGAGTGATATGAGGCCGAGGGCCTAAGATACTTTATATGCCACGAGGTGGCTTGAGTGATGTAAGGCCGAGTGATATGAGGCTGAGTGCTTGAGATACTTTATATGCCACGAGGTGGCTTGAGTGATGTGAGACCGAGTGCCGAGTGATGATGCCACGAGGTGGCTTGATATCGCGCTTGGGCCGTAAGGGGCCCCTCCCGGAGTCTGTACACCCCCAGTGAGCGTCGTCGACGATATATGGATCGGGTTGCATGCCGCAGCGAGATGTGGATCGGGCTACACACCGCAGCGGTTACTATA